GTTTATGGACCTCGACTCCGTCTCGGTCCATAAACACGCAAAAAAAGAACTTGGCCAATATCCAGCCATCTTGACCTCACACTTGGTCAATAACCTATAAGTATTGTATTGTATTGTATTTCTGCGCCATTTTGAATGACGTCATACGTCATATGCGCAAAGGCTATCGCGCACCTCGTGGTTTTGTTTGTAGTCTGAGCCAATCTCGTTCCCAGAGCCTTCGTTCCCCTTGACGGTCGGAAAACGAGGGCTCTGGGAGCAACCATTTCAGACGTGCGCCACAGATGCAGACTACGCAGTGAAACCGGATGGGCAGAATTCGGTTATTTAAAAATGGTTGCTCCCAGAGCTGTTAAATTGTAATCTTGCGTGTTGCCATTTCTGGCGACCGAGAGGTCAAGGGTTTTAGAGAAAAAGGTGAATGAAACACAGGTATCAAAAACTGTGTTCAGCCACATTAAAGTGACGGCGTCGAACGCACTCATAATCTTTGATTACTAGTTGTTTTCAATTAAATACTTGTAAACAGATGAACAAACGATGTTTGCCCAAGCTCGTCCCATAAGGAGGATTCGTTTGTAGCATTAATCAGGCCGTTTGTGAATCAAAGTTTTCTCGTGCTGTTGTAATATCCCGCCTGGCTTATTAACCCGCCTACAAACCGCATAACTACATGAATACATTGCATACTGCTCATTTAGTACAAAAAATTCTACTCTATTACAAGGATGTAAACTATAGAATTACCATTTTTAAAACCTATTACACGTCACTTCACTACTTTTAAAAATTCGGCGAGTACTAAGAAAAGAGATAATTTTATTATTCCCCTACTAAAGCTTTTTCTTTTAAACCCTTTCTTAATAATCAGAGAAAAAATACATCTGACGCATCTTCCACAGATATATTCCCACCAACAATAAAGCACCGCGGGCTTATATTCCGGTGTTCTGTAGATATTGTTTTGTATTTCATATCCCAGGGGAGGGATCGTAGAACTCAGTCTGTGCCAATCGCAGGTTCTAATATTCACTGATCGTGTGTTGATTACGAAAAACACTCATCAGGCCCGTTGATTTGTAATATTGCACTAGTCAAATTATCTAGAGCTGTAATTGATCTATGGCTTTAAATACAACCCTCACAATATGTAGGGAATCAAGACACTTAATAATTTACACATACAACATTTAAAGTGAGTCAAATTTGAGTGTTTTGTTGTTATCTATCGTACGGACTTCTCTCTTCTTGTTCAATGTGTTCATGACTTCATATTCTACATTACATACTTTTTACAGCATGTCAGCCAACATTGGAAACCCACATTCGACTAAAGCATCGTAAAGTGTGCCCACGTCTATAAAACGTTCATTTCGAATATGAGACAGAAGCTCGATGCATGGATTCCTAGTTCGGTTGTCAAGGAAACGAATCTCGGCTGGGCTCAAGCCCAGTTTCTCTGCAAGTAGCTTCCATTCTTCTCCACCTAAAAACAAGAACAACCCAGTTGGTTACACGAAAGTTGAGAAATACGGTACTTTCTATTCGACCAAAAATTCCAGAATTACCGTTTGTCATGACAGCTTTTGAAGTTTACTGTGGTGTGTTACGTTGGTTTTCGTTCATTTTACTGTAACTTCAGTAATAATACTTTTCATGCCAACGTTTGTAACTTGATTTTTTGTATGTTTGTATTTTTTGTATGAATGTATGTAACATGAAAACCCTTGTTTTCTTGAAAATACACGAAAGATGTGCTTGTTTTTTTTTCACCACTGGAAATAAATTATTCTCCTTCGCAGCCGATATTAGGGTCGTCACGCAACGCACGGTCGAGAAGCGTTGCGTGACGACCCTAACAACAGCTGCGAAAGAGACGAGATAATTGGAAGAAAGTTAAATATCTGATGAAGAATGATATTACATGTATGAAATAAAACAAACTACTACCTACTACGTACTACCACTACGTACTACCTACTACGTACTACTACTACCACTACGTACTACCACTACGTACTACCTACTACGTACTACTACTACCACTACGTACCGCACAAGTTGATTGTTAGCTTTCTGAGCTGGCTTTGTGAGACAAGTTTTACATCAAGGCATTCAGGTAACAGTGGACCTGGGAAAAGAAAAGTAAACGGGCAATCTTGGTTTTATACTCCTGGGTATTTTTTCTTTCAAAAGTTAAATATCTTTCCATTTTTGTCCCCAAGCAGCAACTCGTAACAACTTGTAACAATATACAACGATGCTACACACCAAAACATGTAATAAGGTATATATATTCTACTCCCTGGTAATGGTACCTCGGTAACGTGGATACTTCTCTACATCAAACTAATAATATTGGTGGCATTAGTAATTCAGTCACTTTACTGAGCTTCCGTCAAAGGCAGACGCTTCTGTCACGGACCTCGAACGTGTCCACTTTATACAGCATTGACTGCATTGGTTAAATTTCAAGTGAGGACAATAAATGCGCAAGCAAAAAACGAGTAAGCAAGCACGCCAACGAACAAACGAACGAACACATGTGGTTTCAGCAGGAGTTATTTGTCTCAAGAACTCTTCTACATCAAGGAACAAACGGACAAGAAAAGAGAAAGCAAACAAGCAAACAAACAAGTAAGAAAGCAAGCAAACAAACAAACATCAAACAACACCTGTAGTTCCAGCAGGAGTTATTTGCCTCAAGTGCTCTACTACATCAAGTCTGTTCGCACTTTTAGCTTCCATCGAAAGGGAACGGATCAACCGCGTTTTTTCAGGCCCTGGATCTGCTAATGTTGCTTTGTCTAACTTTAAACTCTCGGGTAGTAGAGCAACAACATCTGCAGCATCACAAGTCGTTTGAAGGGACTTTAAAACACCAGAAGAGAGAACAAGGGCTTTCGCTTCACTCCCTACAAATAAAAATGTGCATAAAACAGTCAATATGTTGGGCTCTTCTAACTAGCAGAGGGATATAGATCACGGGTTACTACTTTAACCTGCTGAAACTCGGAATAATGCAAAAAGTGCTCCTGCAGATTGCAAACTTTGGTCTCTTCAGTTCAAGTTGCGGCTACTACCGCTTGCCCCCCTCCTCCAGGGAAACGTGGCGTCAGGCCATCAATAGTGCGAGGTGGGTTCAAGTTATTTTATTAGTAATGATAAATGTTTGCCACTTCTCCTATCATTTACCGTGGGATATTTTGGCGTGCCATGTTTTTGTTTAACTGACATTCAGCAAACGACTTAGACGGATGGTCGGACTTTTGGTGACGACTGGCGGTTTTTAACATCAAGAGTTATTATCAGACAATTATCGGTGGCATTGAGGAACGACAAACGAATACGCGCTGATACCATCAAACTCTGAATCTCCTTTCTACAACAAATGGGATTAAGACATATCAAACATCTTTAATTTTATTTTATGAGTGTGTTTTAATCCGTTATGGCTCAAGACGTGTGCAAAGACTGAATCGTGATTTAGCGGAAAACGAAGTTGAATGCGAAGGGTCACATCAAACATAATCTGTTTTTTGTAAAATGAGTTCACGTCGCAAAATACAGATTCACTCAATCGCGAAACAAAACGCTCCTACTTTTCCTTAGTTAAGTACTTTACCCATTCACTTCATTTCCATTTCTCTTCGTTATTTCGTGCTGTTTCGCATACTATATTAAGCCAAAATAGCTGCATTCAGTGTGCTTAATGAATTTCGCAAAACTCTCCAAGGGTTTTTTCACACCAATCACGAAGTCATCCTTCTAAAATTTATTCAACAACATGAAGCTTGACTCATTCTAAGGTTGAGCGAATGTGAAAATAATATTTTTTACAACAACTGTCTAATTTCTCGCGCGCTGATTGACTCATTTTTATCCTCGATAAGAGTAAAGACGGATAAAATTAGAATTTATGCAAGCTTTCAACAGTTCAACTTTCAGCTGTCGAACTGTCAACTTTTTAACCAATGGAATTTTATTGCATTTTTTTAAGTAGCTAATGAAAAAGCGAGAAAAGCTATTGACAATGTTCGCGTCATTTTGAATAAAATTCACTTATCTTTGTTTACGGCAAGTTTACCGCGTCTTTCCCTTATTTATTTCCGACATTTGACCAATTTGGGGTCTTGTTATTGTAAAAAACAAATTGACGCCAGTTTTTCATGTGTCTGTCCTCTTATTGATGATAAATTGCGTCATAACATTGTCAAAGTTTAAACACTCCTTGGCACGGCTGAGTGGCTTGTGCGTCCCAGTGACTCAGCCTCCCAAGCCGGAAAGGTCAAGATTTAGGGTCCACACTAGGTGGGGCTTGAGGCTAACAAACCTAACCTCATGCTCAGACTTTCTCAAAGTCCTTCGCAGTTGTAAGTCTCTACCTCGCGCTCTTCGTACTCAAGTTTGATCGTCGCAGATAATTGACCATAAAGGAAAACGAAGATTTGTTTTTCTTGAATCAGAAACTCAAAAGTGATCAATTGTGCGCATATAATTGTTCAGCGTGTGGTTTTACCATTTTTTCCAGTAAAATTTTACCAAACTATACCCAATAAAGAGTGCCCAAGATTGTAGAAATTACGTACCCAATATTTCAGGGACTTTCCAAGAGACGATTGTGCAATGAATATGTCAGAACGAAAGTCAACAACGCGTCAGTGGTACGCTTTTAAACAACGAGCAAGAGACAGTAACCCCAGTGAAAAAGTATGGCACTTCTCAAGTAGCTTAAGGTTACAGTATACCTTCGGGTCGGCATTTTCTTCAAATTTGGATTTTTGGGTCAAAATAGAGGTCGAAGAATAATCTCTAATTTCTGCAAAAAAAATTTGAAAAAGGCTAAATATTGGCGGAGAAATGGCGGTTTTACGTTTTCACCGGAAGTAAAAGTTTACCTCTTGATTGACAGCCTATGGCGCGTATGCAATCAACCGAGACGATTTTCGCGGGAATTACCTATATGGATGTCACGAATTGACTACTCAGTTGATCAGCATTGTTGATC